ATCAATGTTGGTTTTCCCTGGATGTGCCCCGGAAGGGGTCTTGTGTAGAGCAGGCACCCAACCCATGTTTCCTGGCTGGTTGATGCAGGACCTTCCTCACCTGCCCCCAGGCGCCCTCTCTCCTGCCTCACCCCATGCCACTCTCCCCTGGGCCCGGGTGCCGACCCTACTGGCCTTCCTCCGGTTTCTTCAGTTTTGTGACTTACTTCTCGCAAGTGGAGTGATATGGGGGAGGGGGGCACTCCAGAAATCAAAGGCCATCCCTGCCTGATTTAATCCTGTCTATCCTTCGGCTTTGAGTTGCATTGTCCCTAATTCAGTGACCTTTCCCAACTCCCCACCGCACCTTCCAAAGTTCTAAATGAGGTCTTCTCTGAACCGGATTAAGTGCATTATGGGGCACCTGTTCAATAGGATACTAGATGGTCGTTTAAAAGAATAAGATCTATCAGTATATTGATAAGGAAAAAGAGGGCAAGTTGCAGAAGAGTACATGTATAAAGTGATCCCATTTGTAGATATCCTCTAAAGGACATAAGTGCTGCAGTATGAATGCATTCTTTTCAGTGAATATATACAAGAAATTGTTAATAGCACCTCTAGGGAGACAGCCTGGGGCTCATAGAAGAAGAGGAAATTTTTCACTTTAAGCTTTTCTGTAGCATTTGAATTATGACCACATATGATATTTTACCTTTAAAAATATGAGATGATTAGTTGTTTCAGCCCTCTTGTTTTCCAGTGCTCTGTGAAGACAAGGAATGTGTTTTCTTTTCTCTTGTTCCTGGTACCCCGGACGTTGCACCTTCAGGTAGCAGACGCTCCATCAGCACTCCTTGAATGAATGGATGGGTGAATGAACGAAGAAGCAAGCAAATGCAGTTTCCCCACCGTGTGGCTAACCGGGTGACACACAGGGCCGACAAGCAGGTTGAGCCAGCAGGAGAGATGGCTAACAGAAGAGGCAGGGAGCAAGCACAAAGAGCAAAGAAAACCTGTGGAGTTGAAGGGGTCGGAGCTGGGAAAGAGAGAAGCATATGATGGCGAGCTGTGGGGGGAGGGGCGGGGGGCTGAGTGAGGAGGCGCTGCCTGCCTACAGAGCAGAGATGGAGGAGGAGGGCACCACTCCTGTGGCACTGGAGGCATCAGAACCCTCCTGCCTTGCTCCCCTTTCCTGAGACCATTCAAGGTGCTCAGTCACCTCCAGGGGCCAGTTTGGTAAGACAGGTGCGGCGGGGATGAGGCCCCAGGGCTCCAGCGCTGGTGCACTCTTTCCTTCTGTTCCATGTGGCCTTGCTGTAGGGAAGTAGTGAGTGGGGGTGTAGGCTGAGGGAGAGACTTAGCTTATTTGTGGTGATTAGAATCAAGAGAAGTAGCCAGAACCAAGGACGATGAGTCTCATGCAGAGTAACAGCTGTCCAGGCTCATCCCTCTGCAAAGAAAGCACAAGTGGATGAGGATGAGCTCACGGGTTATGGTCGGACAGAGCTGGAAGCCTGGTACTGTCCGTTATTGATGATCTCAGCTCATGAAGCTGCTGCTTCTTGCTGAGCCTCACTGTTCTCGCCTGCAAAATGGGCGAGAGTAAATGAGAAAATGGAGGTAGCGCCATTTGGTTTCTCTCCAGGCTCAACACTCTATCCGCTAATTATGTACTGAGCACAGTGATGAGTATTTTATAAAGATGATTGCACTTAATACTCATAATGACCATATGAGGTGGGTGTAATTATGATCCCCATTTTGCAGATGAAGCAGCTGAGGCACAGAGAGGCTAAAGTCACACAGCTGGTACATGGGGAAGCCAGGGTTGAAAGCCAGCCACCCTGCCTCCCGAGCCTGTGCCCTTAACCATGGCATGGGCATCCTACCCATTTAATTAACCCGCTCACTGTTTCTGTTCCTGTTCTTCTTCCTCTTGGTAGCACGGAACAAAATGAGAGTAAAGTTCATGGAACTATTAAATTTTTTAAAATAGCGGTAGCTTTTCAGCAGCACTAGAGCAAACCTCTGTATTCTTCTCATTTTTTTTTTTAAGATTTTATTTATTTATTTGAGAAAGAGAGAACCAGAGACAGATAGCAAGAGAGGGAAGAGGGTCAGAGGGAGAAGCAGACTCCCCGCTGAGCAGGGAGCCCGATGCGGGACTTGATCCCGGGACTCCAGGATCATGACCTGAGCCGAAGGCAGTCGCTTAACCAACTGAGCCACCCAGGTGCCCAAACCTCTGTATTCTTCTTACTGTCCTTAAAATCACGTGCTTTCTATTTAATTTAATTTAATTTTTTTTTTTACGGGAGCATAGTTGACAAACAGCGTTGCATTCGTAACATTCTGAGAGTTCAGTTTGACATCCTGAATCAGACTGGGTCCCCGGTCCAGACTTGCAGGCCAAGGAGCCGTAACTGAGAAGTCCATGTAGGCAGTCTTGTGACGAAGGAGATTTCTCAGGTCTGTTTTCTTTTTCTAGGTTTGTTCATGGGTGTGTGTGTGTGTGTGTGTGTGTGTGTGTGTGTGTGTGTGTGTGTGTGTGTGGCAGGGGGAAGGTGGGAAGGAGAGAGAGGCAGGACAGAAATTTCCAAGAACAGATTACGTATACATAAGCCCTTGTCTGTGGTAGGAAATCAGGAACTGTAAAATTGTGAAGTTCTTTGAAGTTTACCCAAAACCTGCTCCTCGGCCACCTGTTCCACAGGGGCTGGGAGTTGGATGGCCCCACTCTGCTGCGATGGCGCAAGCTGTCACTGCACCGGAATGTTCCAGCTCGCCTTGGCCTGGCTGTCATCGCTGGCTCTGTCCCACTCAGGCGGTTCACCGGGTTCTGTTAGGCACCAGGCTTCCAATTAGAGAGAAATCCCACTGTGTGGCCAGCCTCACCAGTGCCACTCTGAGAGGCCCCTTTGCCAAGGCCCGGGCTGACCTCTGATCTGTCACAGATGGGCCAGCCCCATACTCCTTTGTGCGCATTTGGAGGAGGGGGGTGGGGCTGAAGAGCGAAGCCTGCGGGGAGTCCGAGTGGACATTGGGCAGAAGTGCAGTTCCTCAGAACTGGGGGAAGCTGGGCAGAGTTGACAGGACCCAAATGCTAGCGCTGTGGAGGGAAAGGGGACTTTGGGAAGACCCCGTCCTGAGCCCTAAACCCAGCATGGGGCCTCCTCTTACCACCTTCTGAATATTCATCTCAGGCTGGACTCCACACCCGAGGAGAGCGGGGAGCCGATAACTGGCCCCCTCCAAAACTGTCACAGTGCTGATAACTGGCCCCCTCCAAAACTGTCACAGTGCTGATGGCGCATGGCACAGCCAGCTTCCTCCCTGCCCGGCCACAGGCTCGGCACTGTCTCTGCAGCCTGGGAGCCCCGCTTGGCCTGGGCTCAGGGACAGTACTGTCAGCAGCTCTCACCATGGATGGTATTAATCACGCAGAGCCGGAGTGAACAAGAAAGCCAAATTCCTATTAGCATAAGAGATAGAATCTCAGAGAACTCCATCTCTAATTCCCCGGTAGGACGGAGAGAGAGACTCTGAGCTCTGCACAGCTGCTGTCTGGACAGAGGACTGGCTGAATGTGGTTCATTATTTTGGGGGTGGCATGCGAGTGTTCTTTATTTCCCCTACAGCCATTTCTTTTCTAAACCCCTTTTTATCCTTTTAATCACCCTCTTTCTCTCTCAGTCTTATTTTCTGTGTCTCTCTCTCCCTCGCACACTTCCTCTCTTTCCAGGTTCAGCATCTGTAACTCCGTAGTCAGAAGCAGTGATAAAGGCACCAGGCCTGGCGTTGACATTTCTATGCTGGGGCTCAGGTGGACTAGAGTCATGGCAAACCCTAAAGAATGAATAGCCTGAAAGAGGCAAGGGTCTTCCCAGCTGTTCTTGGAACGATGCTGCGTCTCTTTTAAAAAATAAAATTGAATTCAATCCATGGAAGCAAAAATGAAGGGTTTCTTCACTATTCTGTCCTCTCTGGGATGTTTCCCCCCTTTATTGTTTGCAGTTGGATTGGGAATTCTAGGATTGTATCTCTCCACTTGGCCTTTTTTCTGGCTCCGACTGGTTAAAACAAACAAATCCCCTCCTCTGGCCAGTGATACTCATTTGGAAAAGGAAATGCTTCTTTAGGGGGTTGAGTTGTCCCCATGACAAGATGGGCTCTTCCCAGCAAGTCACCACTGTTATGTTGCTCTCTCTCGGCATGACTTCGTTCAACTGATGAGAGAAGTGGCCTCATGTGTCCTCCTGTGTCTGGATGTCTGTCTCATATGGAGGGTTTGGAGAAGGGAAATCTCTGTGACACCAGAAGAGAGACTGTCATCTTTAGAATCGGCATGGTTTAGTATACCAGACCTGGCAAGTGGAGACAGCCCAGGGACACCGCTGGGGAGCCCGGTCATATCAGCAGGTGTCAAGTGTCCCTCAGAGTCAGGCTCAGGGCCATGACGGCTGTGACACTTGCGGGGGTTCCGATGAGCTAATGCACGTGTGGACCTTGGTCGTGAGGCAGTCGCCCATCGTGACGCCGAGCCACGACGCTGTGCTGTCCATTCCTCTGTCTCTGGCCGGGCCAGGCTCATTCACCCGCTCCTCCAACACAAAGTTGCCCCAGCCCAGTCTGGGACTCTCTCCTCGTTTCTTTACATTTCTCCTGGGGAGAGCCACTCCCAAGGGCTCCTGACCTGGAGCGTGCATCAGGATCACCAAAGAAATCTTAGGAAAAAATACAGAATCCTGAGCCCCACCCAGGAGGTTCTCATCCAGCAGGTGCTGGGGCAGGGCCTGGGATTCAGAAATTTTGAAGTCTGCCTTCGACTTCGTGCCTCAGCACCACACAGCCCGAGACCGGGAACCCCTGGAGGCCAGAGACCGTGTCCGAGTGCGCATTGTCCCCCCGGCCCGCATACCCACAGCAGGCTCATTGCAGGCGATAAGTAATACACGGAGAAGTGGGCAAGATCCCTCCGTGTGTGCTGCTCACTGTTTTGCCTCCTCCTCTGCTTGCAGACATTCCTGTTATTCCGGATCTGGAAGAAGTACAGGAGGAAGACTTTGCTTTGCAGGTGGCCGCCCCTCCCAGGTACATTAAGTATGGAGTTAGTGGGAGGCAGAGAACATGGGCATTAATACATTCCAAATCCCATGTACAGTGGTGCTGCCCCCTGAGTGGGGAGCAGGTATTTCTGGTGATGGGTTCCGTGCCAGGGTTCCCGTGTTACTAGGCATGTTCTGCCCATTTTGGTCCTTCCCAGCTACCTAGGAGGCTCTGAGGATGGTGGCCCCGCGGCTCTCCTGGAACTGGTCCTGCCTGGGGTTCCCCCTCACCTCCTCTCTTTCCTACAGCATCCAGGTAAACCGGGTGATGACCTTCCGTGACCTGGACAATGACCTCATGAAGTACGCAGCCTTCCAGACCTTGGTGAGTAGAACAGCTTCTGCCCAGAGAGGGCAGGCTCTGGGCAGCCTCTCTTCCACGGGTCTCTGAGGCCACCTGGCAACAGTCCCTTTGCTGGAGCCATCATTCTCGGGTATTCCGGTGTCCCTAGACCTAGCCTAGCCCAGTGTCTCCGGGGGCCAGGCTCCCACATGCTTCCATGGCTGCCTGCTGGCATGGGTAGACACTGTGGTCCTATAGCTCTGTCGCTGTCACGCCCTGCCCTCTTGGTGGTGACCTCCCTGCAAAGAATGTCCAACCTGTCGGATGTTGTGGTGTTCCCTCCTCTCTCAATGGCTGTGCGGTCCACTCACATTTTCACTCTTTTTAAGGCATTTCTGCAGGTCTGGGTTGGGAAGTCCCACCACACCCACCCTGACCCACTTTGCAAGAGATCATTGTCCGGAGGACCCCCTCGGGGTGCACAAGCTGGTGGGTTGATTGGTTGGTTGGTTGGTTTGCATTCACAGGATGGAGAGATCGACCTGAAGCTACTCACCAAAGTCCTTGCACCAGAGCATGAGGTGCGAGAGGTGAGTAGCCGCAGGAGCTCCTCCTCCGGGCTGCGTCATTCCTGTGGCCAGCTGGCTCCCCAACATGAGCTCTGCTTTCCTAGGGCCGGTGGGGCAGTGGGGGGCCAGGTGCGGGGGAGGTTGGCTGTGAGGGAGGGAAAAGGCCTTCCTTCCTCTGACCCAATGATACCTCTCCTGGCAGGATGACGTCAGCTGGGACTGGGACCATCTGTACACTGAGGTGTCCTCCGAGCTACTCACCGAGTGGGACCTGCTGCAGGAGGAGCCTGTGGGACAACCCATGCATCCCTGAGCCCTGGGGGGTCAACAGCCTGCTCTCCCCGCACAGAGTAATTTCTGCTTTGGACTTGAAAAAAATGCCATAAGCCTAAACCTAAAGAAGCTTGCAAGCAGCTTAGAATTTTTTAATGGAATATTTTGTAATAAAAATACTGTTTTCAGTAGACCACATTGGAGCATTCGTTGTAATAAATTACTTTATTCTGTGGCCATCTCTTCCATTTCTTTCCAGCAGCCTCTTGGAAAGATTCATCAAGAGTGAAGGAGGGCGGCTTTTAAACAGTCTGGCAGGGACGCTCCCCGCTGTTGAAGAGCGTGAGGGAAAGCTAGACTCAGGGGGAGAGGAACGGCGCTCCTCCTGGACGTTGTTCGGTTCACAGAGGCCACGGCGTTTCCCTGGAGCATCCGTCTACTTGTAAGCACCTGGAGGCAGGGGTCCGGGAGGTTGTAAGCTGCTACCTGCTGGGGCCCGGGGAGGGCCTGGCACCTGCTCTCGCTCCGCACGTTCGGTTACGTCAGCCAAGTTGCACTGTCTCCTTCATGCTGCCAGGCAGCTTAGCTGAGGAGACAGCAAGAGGTGGGTGTGATAAGGTGACCCGTTCCTCACAGCGGGGTTTGGGGGCTTTTCTGACAGCACCCCCTCTCTCCTTTCTTCTCACAGCCCATGCCTGGGGCTCCCAAGATGTGCCCTTCCCTTCCGCCCCGGGTTTCCAAAGCCTCGCTGCTGGTTCTCATTAGCAGGGGCCAGCTTGGCAGCCCCGAGCATTCCACAGAAGCACTCTCTCAGGGAGCCTGGGACTCCCTCTGACCTTTCAGAGACATAGCTGCTTGTCTCCATTGCTCCCCCAAGCATCATGGCTGCCTGTTTCCAAACTGTGCCATTATCTGGAGCAGAGCCCAACCTTCTTTCTAAACAGAGACATCTTTTGTTTTCGTTTTTCTCGCTTTCTCCCCCAAGACCTCTCATCTGAGGACAGGAACGTCTCCCTGCCCTCCTCTCCTAGATGCCACTTTGGATCTGGCCCATGCAGGCTAGCAGCCGCTGACTAAGCCCCACTCCGTGGCCATGGGGAGAGCTGAGTGCTGTTCTTATCCTGCCTGGAAAGCCCTTCATTAAAATTCAGAAAACCAAGAGGCTCAACACTTCAAAAACCCACTGGGGGGGTTATTTAGACAAGCCATTCCCCAGTGAGCCAGGAGGGCTCCAGAGCCGGCAAAGAGACTACACGGCTATTAATTATTAACTCAGGGATTTGGTGGCTCTGGAGCCCCTCTTCCTTCCTTTCTAGAGTCACACTCTTAGCCCTGACAGCCCCCCTTTGGAATAATTCCCATGGTCACTGAGAAGTTTCTGCCCACTCTGGTTTTTCTTGAGCACCATTCTGAAACCCAAAGGAGAAAGGTATTTCTAGTACCTTAACTACTAGTCAGTTCAGCTGCCTCAGGACTCTGATACACTTGGGAGGTCTGCGGCCAGCCTGAGCAGGTGGCTAGGGGTTGACTTCCTTCCTCCCTTTATTTTATGATAGCGACAGCAACAAGGTCTCCCATGTACCGAGCCCTCACCACATGCCAGGCACTGGGCTCAGCACATAAGCATGATCCTCACAACCACCCAGCGAAACACAGATGTTATCCCATTTTATAGATAAGGAAACTGAGGCTCAGAGATGTAAAGAGACTGCCCAAGATTATCCAGCTACTTAGTGGCAGGGCTGGAACTCCAAACCAAGGTATCTGACGCCACCGTACTTTTAACATTTGTGTTAAAAGAAATCTTCTGCTGCCTCCAGCTGGGGCAGGTAGTCTAGCGTATAGGCAGAATTAGCAGCGTGTTGGGAGAAGCTGCCTGCCGCTGCCCTCCTCCTCCTAGACCAGGCATCCCTTCTTTGCATGGAGTGACCACAGAGCAGAGGTTGTGAAGCCTCTCAATGTGGCTGAGCTCCAAAGTCCTGGCCCCAGGGAGGTAAGGATAAAGCCTGTAGACCTAGGTGAGGAGCAGCTCGAGGTCCTATGAGCTAAGCCTGGCCAAGAGTCAGGTTCAGGCCGTGGATGGCCAAGTGTCCTCTCACCTGTCTGGGCTTCATCCTTTCCATAGCCTTCGAGTGCCACATCTCAAGAGCTCCTGGGCATTGACGGGGTGTCCCAGGACCTATGTCCACCTAGTTCTTCCCTGGCCCCTGAGCTACCTTCCTTATGTTCCATCCAGCGGTGTCACCCAACCCCGACTTCAGAGGGCCGCCGCAGAAGAGGGCTCAGGAGGTATGACAGAACGGACAAGCAGCTACAGGTACCCACGCTGTGGCTTTCGGCAGGCATGTCGGGGAGGCACGGGACGGGTCTCAGTGCTGCCACCTCCTTCGTGTGTCGTGTTGACCGGCTCCTCATCCGTTTCTCCTAGGCTGACTCATGTCACCTCTGAGCGGGCTTGAGATGTCCCAGCTGGTCTCTGACATAATCTGGCATTGGGCAGTAGCTGTAGAGATGCCGTCCAGAGGCTGGGCCATGGTGGGGAAGTGCGCTCCTTCGTGAGATGCGGATTACTGCTCAGTACGAGCCAGGCTCTGTTCTAGGCACTGCAGAGAGAGCTCTAGACAAGCCGAACTCCCTTCCCTCGTAGCACTTACATCGGGCAGGGTGGGGGGGAGGGGAGACGGACAAAGAAGTCAAACACATAGTGTGTTAGACGGTAATGGGTGCCCTGGAGAGAAACGGAGCTGGACCAGGGAAGGGCGTGCTGGGGTCAGGGGTTGCAGTTTGTAAACGGGGTAGTTAGGGGAGGCCTCACTGAGAAGGTGACATTCGAGCAAAGACTTAGAGAAGGTGGGGAGGGGAGGGGGCAAGACTGGTAACTAGGGAACAGTGTTCCAGGGAGAGAGGACAGTACTTGCAAAGCCAGGAGGACAGGCACCTGGCTTGTCTGAGGAGATCAGCGTGCCTGGGGTGGAAGGGGCATGGGGAGAGGAGATGCTCTGTCTTGCTGCACCCATGTGGGGCCCACGTCCTCCAGTGACACGAGCACTCCAGGCCTCCTCGGCCTTGCCGGACAGGCTTTGGAAAACTCAAACTGCTACCCAGCCTCTTCCGGCCTCGGCCTGGAAGAAGCAGAACAGCAGATGGTACACGGAGGGAGAGGAGAACAATGAGCTCTGTCTGCCACAAACTGGAGGTCAGGAGGCTGCTGCCAGCTCCCCGCCAGGCCAGGGTGTGCCACTGCGTCAGGCAGATGGGGCGGCATTGTCGGGCCCCTGTGTGGAACGCTCCCTGGAATCTCGTAGCTCTGATGGAAAGCTCAAGCAAGAAATTCATCTGGGCAGGGCTTGTAGCTGAACGTGAGGTCATCTCTATCCCTGGTTGTTGGCTCATCTTTGCTGAACCCTAGGACACCCCAGACAGGCTTTAGGAACTATGTGCTCCAGACGGAAACTGATGTTAGCACCTGCTCAGTGTTGCTTGACCAAAATATGCGGCTTACGTAAATCAGGGCCTTTCTTCCTTAGTGGGCCTGGGCCGGGCGGAGGGGGGTGCGCTCCTGGGAGCCCTGGTGCTGGAGACCTGAGTGAAAGGTAGTATTTGCTATAGTGAGATGAGGAAGCTTAGCATCCTTGCTCAGCTTTGCCCAAGCAGTGCTATGCTTTTGTCCCAGGGGCCAAAGAGGCACTGGGGAAGGGATAGCTGGGTGGGAGGGGGGGTGGCACGGGGGATGGGGATAGGGTGCAAGGGGCAAAGAACACAGCTTCCAGAATCAGGCAGGCCTGGGTTCTAGTCCCAGCTCTCCCACTTGGTAGCTGTGGGTCTTGAGTGAGCTGCTTTCCCTTTCTGATCCTTTTTTTCATCTGTAAAATGGGGATGGTATTAGTATTGTCCTCTTAGAATAGTGATGCCCAGAAAAAGCCAACTACTGCTAGATTTTAGAACTGGATGGGTTCCAAAAGTGAACATAGGGAGGTCCCACCAGATATGTGACTGCAACAACACCTGCACTCTGCGAGGGGCTATCACCCTCATTTCCTCTCATGCGTTATTTCTTAGCTATGGATAGAAGAATGGATTGGCACCAGGGTTTTTTGTTTTTATAGCAACTTTATTAAGGTACAATATGCGTGCCTTAGTAAATTTACCAAGTTGTACAACCGTCACCATAATCCTGTTTCAGAACATTGTCATCACCTGACAACATTCCCTTGTGTCTGTTTATAGTTAATCTCTGCTCCCACTCCCAGCCCTCCGCAACCACTGATCCATCTCCTGACCCTATAAATTTGTTGTTTCTGGAAACGGCATAGAAATGGACTCATATAATATGTGGTCTTTTGAGTATGGCTGCTTTCACTTGCCATGTTTTCACAGTCCATCCATGCCATAGCATGGGTCAGTACTTTGTTCTTTTGATTGTTGATCGGTACCTCACTGGACGGACCCACACCACTGTTTCATCATGCATCTGTTGATGGACACTTGAGTTGTCTCCAGTGTGGGGCTCTTATGAATAACACCTCTGTGGACAGTCCTGTACATGTGTTTGTGCAGACATACGTTTTTGTTTCTCTTGGGTAGATTCCTAGGAGTGAAATCATGAGGTCATATGGTGTGTTTACATTTAACTTTTTTTTTTTTCAGTTTCTTTAAAGAAAAACACTTTATGTAAAACTTCAAAAAAGGTTAAAGGGCCGACAGAATAGTTGGGAGAATTATTTTTCTTTACCTTTGAAGAAACTGCCAAACTTTTTCAGGGCATCAGTTTTGTTTGTCAGTGCTTTAGGGTATCAGGATTAATTAAGTAGTTGAATTTTTTTTTTTTTTTGGCTTCCTTTCCTTAAGTTTTTCAAAGGTGGCAGTAAAGTTTATAGTTGGCCCAATCTCCTGATTCCTCCCTCCCTTCCTCCTTCCTGTCATTGAGCTTACCTCTGTTTTGAGAATGCAAAGCTCTTCTGTCTGTCCCCCCTCCTCCGCCCCAGCCTGGAAGCTTCTTCAGGGTAAGAAGGGGTGTTGTTTGAGTTTCTGTAAAGCCCTGCCAGGAATTCAACATCAAATAAGACATGGTCCTGACCCCAAGGGGCTCACAAACTGGTAGAGAGACAGACAGGTCTCATCTCTGTTTTCAAAGCACTGGTTTTGAAAACCACACAGGCTTTCCAGATGGGTAGAAGCATCCCAAACCATCCACTGCGAAGCAGAAATGAAAGTGGGGAGAGAGGGAAGTTGGAA